GGCAAGAGAAAGTAACAGCAGCCTCTTTAAATGAGCCCTCTCCCAATGAAAGGATACTGATGTTGGAAACATGTCGGGATCTTTGCTTTTATGCTTAAGATCTTCTTTTTTTGCACTAGGCCGTTCCTCTTCTTTTGTCTGGCTTCATTGTCTTATCGCATTTACTTTCTAGGGTTTGACTTTAATGAGCAACAGTGTTGTTGTTTGTAGTCATTGGTTTAAATACCTCCCAGCACAACGTCTTCCTAATGTCTTCTAGCATTTAGGGACATTCTTTAATGTTTCCAATAGATGGGCCTGATCAAGACAGAGAGCAGCAAGCGGCAGGAAGGGATCTGCAGTGTGGCTTTCGACAGAGCATGCCGCCATCTCTCGCTCTGGCCGTGTGCTGTTATTAGAGGATTTTAATGTTACCAGATTAACAGCCACAGATGATCTCCTGAGCCTCAGATCTCTGATAAAAACTGGATTGCAGTCTATGCTGTGAGATAAAGAGGCACATTCTATTCTTTGCTGTTCCAGAAGGGACTCCGGCACATAATTGAATTTTTAATAGGCAGCATCTGCTGAGGATTTTCACTCTCCCTCCTTCTCCTCTTCTTTTTTTAATTACAAGATTTAGGGGAGACTTTGCACAGGGCTGTGTCATAGGCAGGGAAACTGAAGTCCTCCTGTGCAGGCCCGCCTGACAAGGCACTGCTTTCACACGAATGAAGGCACACTTCTGTCTCCGCCCTCTCCCTCTTGCCCGCCTTGCCAGTAAGCAAGCCACAACTGCTTTTCACTGCAGAAGAGCTGCAGCTGCTGCAGGGTCTTCCTGGGAGGGAGAAACAGGGCAAAGTGTGGGGCGGGTATGTTGTCATCCGAAGGAGAAAGGCAGAGCTGCATGGCCATTCAGGAGGATAACTCCAAAAATAGCACAGGTGCAGAGAGAAGAGGCCTCCTCCCTCCCATCTTGCTGCTCCAGAGCTCTGCGGCCACACTCATACTGTCTTCTGTGTATTCTCCCTCTTGTGCCATTAGTTGACATAATCCTGGCCAGATTTTCTACACAACTAGTTCTGGATTTTCCCAGTTTGTTGTTGAGGGTCTTCAGTAAAGACACACAGAAAATGGCTACAACTCTTTGCCTGGTCATTTTGACGTTAAAGGAACGCATGCAAATCCCCATTTGTTTCCCCCTTAACCAGTGTGGGCCACATGTCCCCTTTTCTGGTTTTCTCTGTTAGCCCTTAAAAGACCAGGCATTCGACTCCTGAATAAATTCTGAGTCCCCTTCCTCAAGGCTCATCTCAGAACATTGGAAAGTTTATTTCTTTTATTGAACTTGTATCCGGCTCCCCAGGCAAGCAGGCTCAGGGCGCATTCCATCAATGTTAAGACAATAGACAATAACAATTAAAACCAATTTAAAACAACAAGATTAAAACAATATTGAATTATTGAATCATAAAATCATAAAAGGCCATGCAGGGTCTAATCAATGACTCAGTAGCTAAAATAGAACGCTAGTGTAGTTCCCAGGAGGCTGTTCAAATCCAGGACAACCAAAATGGGGGGGAGGAATGCCCACTGCCTCAGCTAAAAGCCTGGCAGAAGACCCTTGTAGGCCCTGCAGAACTGTAATAAATCCCGCAGGGCCCGGATATCCTATGGGCGCTCACTGCACCAGGTAGGAACTAGGGCCAAAAAGGCCCCTACCCTAGTAGAGGCAAGTCAGATGTCCCCAGGGCCAGAGACTACCAAAAGGTGTTGCCTGATTAATGTCCCTGACACCACCCAGGCCATGCCGCGGGTCATAAGTGACACATCAGGGGATGGTAGATCTTGAACTTGGATTAAACCCATCCAAATAGCCATTGTCAATAATATGTCCTTCCTGGAGATGAGTTTCAGCGAGAGCTATCCTGTTATGCACACACGGCTCCCCAAAAAAGTGCCCTTTAGAGTCCTCTGGCTGATAACCTGAAGATTCAGCCCATGTATAGGGAATGCAGCTACGAGAGGCCGGACATGTGTCTCTACAGGTAGTGTGAGCAAGAGGATGTAAATGCTTAGAGAGTAGATGCTTAGTGTGTGGCTTTTGACATTCCAGGTTGTCAGTCCATTCAGCCAATAACTATCGTATCATTTGACTATTTAAAACCCTGGGTGACCAAACTCCTCACCAATCTTCTTGCCCTAACTCTCCAACTCGATTAGCTGTTGTAGATTTTCCAAGGTTGCACTCCACCAATGTTCACTGTGAAAAATTGATTGAAGTCCAATCACAGTAGATTTTCCAGGCTGTATGGCCGTGGTCTTGGCCTTGTGGTACCTGACATTTCCCCAGCAGCTGTGACTGGCATCCTCAGAGGTATAACACAGAAAGATGGAGTACTCTCTGTGTCTCCAACTTGACTTGGCATTTTCCCTTTGGAAGGCAGTCCCGCTTCATTCATCTTAAGAACCGTAACCCTAATGCTTTAGGTTTCTTCCATCCTTTGTCTCTTTCTCTCTCCCAGCCTCAGCTGTTCTTGACTGCTTTGATTTCTGACCTTCTTCAGTGCCAAGAGCAGTCTGGGATTGCTGCTACAAACACAAAAATAAGCTTTGCCCAGGTCATATACAGAGGGACCACCAAACCTGAAGACCCCAAAATCAATAGAAACTATGTCAATATTTTCTAAATGAACATAAAATTCCTCACCAGGCTTCAGGCCTGATTTTAGTTCTGTAGATCTGTGGCATGCCTCAGAGTTGCTGGAATCTGCCGGTCTAACAGTATCCATGTTCAGGTCTCCTCTTCTCCCCGCCCCCCCCCCTCGGGGGCTGTTCCAGTGATGGTCTTTGCACTCTCACTTTAGTCATTTTATTTTCTGAAATGGAGATGTGTTTTCTCCCATCCTATTTAAGCCAGTATTCAGTGACATTAATTAGTTATTGCATGCCCTTGTGTGTAGTATAGGCAGGAGATCCCAAGATGGTCTGGCAGCCGGAAGTTCTAGCTCTTTTAGCATTTATGTGTCACTAGGTGGCAAGCTAGACTTGTTCCAAGGCAAGAGATGTTTTGAGGTGGTTTTGCCACTGCTTGCCTCTGTCTCCCGGCCCGGGTATTCCTTGGAGGTTGCCCACCCAAATACCGGCCAGGGCCGACCCTGCTGAGCTTTGGAGATCTAACAAGACATCCTGGCCAGGGCTACTCAAAGACATCATTCCTCTGGATGCAGAGGTCCCATTTCACGATCACAGCGAGTAGCTCTTCTTGACAGACTGATCTGACATGACTTGTCTTTCTTGAGCCAGCAACGATCACATTGCACAATGTGAATTTAACACTTTTAGCAGTTTTGCCTTTACAAAAAATGTTTAGCAACAGCGCTCTCCTGGATTTATCTTACTAGAGGATGATTTACAACCTTTAATTCTTATTATACAAAATAATAAGGAGGTGAGTACAGTTCTTTGAGTGTAACCAGCAAAAACTTAAAAAAAAAATTGAGATAAGAAGTTAGTTCCTTTAGTGAGCTAGACAGAATGAAATACAAGCATGAAAAAGTTGACCCTACTACTGTGCAAACGAATGCTAAAGTTATCAAAGTACCTAACATTGCTTTTTACAGTTTAGCAGTCTAAGAAGCAAATCAGGTTTCAGCTGTTTGTCTCACCACTTTTAGAGATAATTGAAAAGCTCAAGTTACCCACCAAGTAATCTCACCCATTTGTCTGAGACTTCCATTCAAAGAAGCCTGATTTGCCTGTCACAGGACTGCACATTTATAGAGAAATATCAACTTTTATCTTCTGTCTAAATCTTGTCGATCACAGTCATGTTATATTATTTAGATAACTGGTTCATAACTAAATTAGAGATAAGCAATGTGAGTGCTGATTAGCTAACATAATCCTGTGATGTTATCTAGGTAACTGATTGGTTCTTAACTAAATAAGAGATAAGCAGCAATATGTGCTAACCTGCAGGTGCATATAAGATGCATCTGGTAAAACAAGATAGAAGGCCAATCTCAACTTTTAGCCTCTGTTAAAAAACCAATTAATCCACCTCTCTCCCTAACTGGTTCAACTAACTGTTCCTGATGAAAGTCACCTGCAGCAGAGTTCATGGACCCTTAAAGTGTGCTTGAACTCTCAGCTAGTTCGCCAACGCAGCAAGAAAAAGTGTGCTGCAGCATCACAGGTGCCGCTACTGTAGCCGTGACTCCCATGAGCTGCTTATGGGCTAGTGTCCACCTGTCCCTCCAGTCCAGCACAGAAGAGCTATTCCAGCCGGGGGATGCAACGTGGCCAATCTCCCCTCCCAGCCAAGGGTGTGTTGTGAGGTGACCACTGGTGCAAACACGGAGCCAGGAAGGAGAGGGGGGGGGGGATCCGGACGCCGCCTCCTCCTCCT